TTATTATTTGGTGTGTGTGTGTGTGCTGTCAAATTGGATCTGACTGATACAAGAGGAGATTGTCTCTCCTTCTCCAGCTGAGCATCTGGTGGACTCAAACTGTGCACCTCTGGGATTGCAGTGCAGCTTCTTGCCACTAGGCCACCAGAGCTCCCTAGAGTCCAGCTTCTTGAATAATTTGCTCAGCATACAAATTAAATAAGTATGGAAAGAGAATACAACACTGACACACTCTCTTCTCAATTTTAAACCATGCAATGTTCCCTTGCTCCGTTCACATAACAGATTCTGCATGACTACAATCAAGTGCTCTGGGATTCCCATTCTTCTCACCACTGGTTATGATCCACACAGTCAAATGCCTTTGTATTGTCAATAAGGCGAAAATAGACTTTCTTCTGGTATTTCTTACTTTCAACCAGGATCCATCTGATATCAGCAATGATATCCCTGGTGCCATGGCCTCTTCTAAATCCTGTTTGAACTTCTGGAAGTTCCCTTTCTATACTCTGTTCTAGCCATTTTTTAATAATCCCCAGCAGTATGTGATGTTAATGATATCGTTCAATAGTTTTCACATTCAATTGTATCACCTTTATTGAGAAACAGAACAAATATGGACCTCTTCCAATCTGTCGGCCAGACAGCTGTCCTCCAAATTTCCTGGCACAGACAGACGAGCGCACCCAAGGCTGCATCTGTTCATTGAAACAAGCCAATTGGTGTCTCATCGATTCCTGGGCCTTATTTTTGGCAGTGACAAGACTCTAGTAAATATTATTTTAAATTTTTCCTTTGTCATTAGAAAAATATTTACTACCTAGATTTTATAGATTCACTTTGGCAGAAAGGATAGGATAGAAGGATTAATCAAAATGAAAATTATAGAAGTGGGGAAAGTTTTAGTTCATTGTAGGTACTGTAATTACTATCATAATACAAAACGTATATGATTCTTTGGATGAAAAACCAATCTGCATTGTAAAATTTCACATTGAAAAAAATAAATTGAAAAACATGACAAATGTAAGATGAATAGCTCTTGTTTAAGCCAAGCCCACTGGCCTTCAACCCAGCCCCACCCCCCACTCCACCACACACATAAAAATAATTATTCCCAAATGCAATAGATTGTAGGAGAATAAGGAGAGAACTAATATTTAATGACATGGAGAAATAAAAGGATATTAGAGGAAAATTGAGTGAAAGCTGAAAATAAAACTTTTTAAAAAGTGTATTATACCACTGTGAGTATCTTCGTTTTGGTAACTGTGCAATGGTTATACAAAATTCTGACATTAGGTGAATGTGGGCAAAGGGTATAATGAACTAGTGTGTACTATTTTTGTAACTTCTGTGTAAATTTAAAATTATTTCAAAGTGAAAAAAATCCTATCCACCAGAGGGTGCCATGAAACCTCTTTGGATTTTATTAACTATGCATATGACAGCTGGTTTCTAGATTTATTTTGTTTTCACCCAAAAGTGGTTGCAAGTATCTTATAAAAATGAGAAAAGTCTGTGATTAAAACTTACTTATGTAAGAATGAATGTGTATTCTCCTGGATGAAAAAAGTATTCACTCTTCAGTAAGGACTGAAGCTCAACATTAAGAAAACAAAGATTCTCACCACTAGGCTGATTGGCAGCATAATGATAGTGAAGAGATTGAGATTGTTAACAGCTTCAGTTTGTTTGGCTCCACAATCAACATTCTTGGCACCAGCAGCCAGGAAATTAAAAGACAAATTGCATTGGGAAAGTCTGCTGCCAGAGGTCTCTCCCAAAGTACTGAAGAGCAACAATGCCAGTCTGGAGACTAAGGTAGGCCAGATCCAGGCCACAGTCTTTACAATTATTTGCTTTGCATCAGAAAGCTGGACAATGACTTAGGATGATAGAAAGATAATTGATGTCTTTGAACTCTGGTCCTGGAGAAGAGTATTGAATATATCATACACTGCTACAAGGACAAACAGTTCAGGCTAGAGAGGGTGAGACCAGGCTGCTCCTTAGAGGCAAGGATTCTGAAGCTTCGCTTGACCTACTTTGGACATGTTACAAGGCTGGATCAGTCCTTGGAGAGGGACATGATGAGGTGGATTGAGTCAGCGACTTGGGTAATGGAGGTAGGAGCATCAGTTCTATTTTGTTCTCACAACTTTTTGTTATTAATGAAACCTTCTATGTTGCTGTTTCTCTATGTGCATCGGACACTGCTTTGCATGCATAATCCCATTTAATCCTCACATTATTGTTCTGGGGAAGGAACTGGTGTTTTTGTTTTGTGGTGTTTTTTTTTAACACTTATCTTAGTTTAGGAAGTTGAAACTTAAGAAAGCTAAATCCTGAGTCAAGTAGGGCCAAAAGGTGGGGCTTAGAGTCAAATCCTCGAGCTCTTAATTCCTGCTTTTAATTTCTTCTTTCACAAGTCAGTCCCCAAACTCCCTCCCATCACCCTTGTCTAGTTACTAGAAGGGAGCTGCTACAGTGGCTTAATATTGGGCTAACCAAAATGTGAGCAATTCCACTTATCCACTTCCCACCTGCCCACCCCCCAAGCCCCCAGCCCTACTTCCACTCCCACACCTATCCTTGCGCCTCCCAACCTCTACCACCTACCCTCATCCCCATTCTCACTTCCTATCCTCCACCTTTACTTCTTACTCCCCACCCACACACACCCGCCACTCACCCCTACCCCACTTTCACCCTTGACATCCAGAAGAGAGAAGAGACGCCTTGGAAACTCTACACGCTGCTCAGTCCCATATAGGGTTTTCATGAGGAGGGATCATCTTCACAGCAGTGGGGTTTCCACTGGTGTCCCTTTCCTTCTAAAACAATAATTTGGAAAGGAAACTTCTTGAAGCTTAAAGCAGGAGTGGCATCCACTTCCTAAACAACACGCCTCTGAGCTCCATGAACTACGAAAAATGACAGTAGGTATAGAAAGGGCCCAGGTCTTTTGTTCATAGGGTCATTATGAGCCGTGCTCAACTCGACGGCAATCAACAACGACAACAACAACTTATAATGTATTCACTAAATTACCCAGTTTAGCGTAACTACTTTCCCTTAACAATAGATACAAATTCAAGCCTCTTACTGTTTTTCAAGGGCGCTCTGGTGGTCTAGTGGGTAAGAAGTCTAGCTGCCAACCCCAAGGCAGGTGGTTTGAATCCACAGGAAAAAAGGTGGACCATTTCTTCCTCTGGGGTTTTACAGCCTCTCAAAACTGGCTAGAGGATGAGGTATGGGTCATTTCTGACTCAGTGATATTTAGTTGAGGGTGTTTTGAAGAGAAAGATGAAAACTATTAGAAGGAAACCTTTCTGGTCTTGTTTTAACAAACTCACCAGCAGCGATACTTTGCCTTTTCCCCCTTCCAGCCTCTTTTATAGTCTTGCCTGTGCCCGCTGTAGCTCTTCAGAGAAGAGCGAGCACACAATACACTCAGCTGAATGAAAGCCACCTCTGTAAGGCGCTATCAGGGCAGGATCTTTTCAGAAGAATACCATGCTCTGTTCTAAGTCCCCTTAGTCAGCTTTCACTTCAAGAGTTCTGTCCAGGGCTGTTGGACGAAATCTGCCAGACTGGACTCTAGCCCTCCCCCTTCCAACTTCCTTCTTAAAACATGCTCAGAGTTAGAGCGTTTAGTGCTCTAATCCGGAGGAAAATGACTTATTTTAAAAAGCGGTGAAAAGCACCGCATTCCTTTGGCACAGGATGAAGATCAGCTCAGGTCTTCAGCCGTTGATCATTGTCTATTGTTCTCAAAACAGTAAACCACTCTTTCACTTAAGAGACAGTCCGGCTGCACTTTTATGCCCAAATCTCGGGCTTCTCATGAAGATGAAGTGAAGGGCTCAGACTCAGAAAGTGGCAGGTAATCTTGAAAAGAAAAAAAAAAAGAAAAAGAAAAAAGACAGGTAGGCAGAGGAGGGGGAAAAGAGGCTTTGTGGTTCTGCGCCCTGGCTCCCCACAGGCTCCCAGCAGAGCAAATGGGGTCTCGGAAGTGTGGAGGCTGCTTAAGCGCTCTGCTGATTCCGCTTGCACTTTGGAGTATAGTTGTCAACATATTATTGTATTTCCCAAATGGGCAAGCTTCCTATGCGTCCAGCAATAAGCTCACCAACTACGTGTGGTACTTCGAAGGAATCTGTTTCTCAGGTGTCATGGTAAGTGGAACTTTGGAGACTTGGGGTGGCAGGGGTACTTTTACTAGGAATTGCCTTGTTGCTGGTAAAAATAACGAGCGATGGAATGAGTCATTCTCGTTGGGATTCCGAGGGTGACTGGGGAGACAGGGACAGGGTAGTTGGTTAGAACTTGAGAGCAGCTTTGCCTTCTGTGAGCTGCATGTTTCTGTTCTGCAGGGGAGGAAATGAGTGCTGCTAAAAGCTGGCGGGAGACAGGACTACAGCAATGTTGCCTTGGACCCAGTATTATTTATTTCAAGTGTGTAGTCCCCAGAGCATTGGATTTATTCCACACCAGGTTTTCCACCAATTCTGGTAATATCTCTCTGGTTGGGGAATGATTAGGCTGGTGTGGAAAAAAGACCTATTTGGGAACTCAGATAATCCCCACATTTTAATCTAAGCACCATCACTTGTATGTTAACTTCAGCAGTTTCCTCATTTAAAAAGCATAAATGGTGACATTTACTTGGTAGGATAGTTGTGAGAATTAAATGAAATCATATCTATAAAATGCTTAAAACAAACTCAGGCAGTACTGTGATATTAAATATTTACCATGTCACCAGTAAATGACCTTACGTTATTTTCTCTAAAAATCGAAGGTGTTTTCTGAAAATAAAATCAACTTATCTATGGGAAGGGCTTATGGTTATTTATCATATCAATTTGGGGTTGTTGTTGTTTTTTAAATCTTTAAAAATAGCAAACTGACAGTAAGTCATGTTGGCAACTCAGAGAAAAAGGACACTTTTCCTGCCATATCATTTCTAAAAACAATGCACTGTGCCTAAGCAGAGGGAATCTAGTTATACTCTATCGCTGCATCTTTGTTTATGATATTTGAATGGCTATGTTGCAAAGTAGTTCTCATTTTGCCTACTGATTTTGCATGTTAAATCCATAAACTTTAAAATGCTAATAATACCCAGTGCCATTGAAATTGCTGTGTCATGGAACATAACTAATATTGGTAGCACTAGAAAGAAATGCAAACCTTTTGAGAAGTTTGGTGCCATATATCAAGATCCGTGATATGTTACTTGACATGGTAATCCCGAATATTATGTTTCATTCTAAGGAAGGCATCCAAATGAGTAAAGGGTTAACTGAACAGATGTGTGTAGTTATGCATGACAGCAAGGAAAAACACTCTAACAGAAATGGGTCAGATAAAGGTAATGCATTCCCTTAATGCTGTGATGAATGTGGGAACTGCAAAGATTGTCTACACAGTGAACTTAGGAACTTATGAACTATGCAGCCGTAATTATATGGCATTGGATTACATGAAAAATGCATATGTTTCTGTTATGTGAAAACATACAAAAAATCATCGGTAAATTATAACTATGTAAAATTTTACTGAGGTGAGACAATTATGAAAATAAAGAAATAAAATCATGGAAAGGTGTAGGGGTTATTTTTCCTCCAGTATCTTTAAATCCTCTCACTGAAATTATATTTTAAAACCAAGCTAAAGAGCAGGTGATTTCTTCAACACAGATGATACACAAATAACAACACTTCAGGGGCTAGGCCTAATTATTTCTACCAGTTTTGTAATGAAGGTTTCCTTATATGTCAGCCACATTTTTATTGTTTCCTTTTCATATTTCCTTATTATGTAATTGTATTAAGTGAAATTTGTAAGTCAGAAAGTAATAAATCAAAATTTTCTAAATATCTATGAAATTAATTATATTGAGAGGAATATACAATCCTTTTACTTCTATTCCATGTGGAATTAAAAATGAAAAGTGGAAAAAAATCTGTTCTCTAATTTTTATCATTCTGGAATTCTTGGAAAATTTTTTTTATTGTAACTGCATCAAAACAAATAATTTCAGGAGAAAGCTTTTGTTGTAAGTCAGAACAGCCTCGTAGCTGAACCCTCCAGCGGTTTTTCAGAGGCAATAAATTGCACTGGGAGGAGATTGCCCATCCTTCTCTCACAGAGCAGATGGTGGATTTGAATCGCATGCCTTTGAGATTACAACACAGCTTCTTCCCACTAGGCCACCGAACGAGGGTGGAAAATGGAAAGGCTGGTTATAAAAGTAAAATGACAGTGGACTCAGACTAGAATATGAGGGAGCTCTGGTGGCCAGTGGCAAGAAGCTGCATTGCAATCCCAGAGGTACACAGTTCAAATCCACTAGATGCTCTGCTGGAGAAGGAGGGGCAATCTCCTCCTGTACCAGTCAGATCCGATTTGACAGTACAAACACAACAAATAATAAAATAATTTTTTAAAAAAATAGAGATAATATGTCATAAGCAACTCCACATGTGCCCAACCTGGGAATTATAATCATAAAGAAAGTCATGTTCTTTTCAGAGCCAACGTCCTTCATATAAGATAAGTAGAATGTGTGAAATTTTCTCATTATGGTTAGATACAGATAAAATGCACAGAAAAAAATTTGGACCCCAGGTCTTTGGGTCTAAAGGTGTATGAGGAAATCAAATTTACCTCACTTTTAAGAAAGAGATCAAATTTCAGGTTTTGACTCTTTGGGTGACACAAACATCCTCAGCTTACCGAATGGTGGCAGGTTTGAGGCTACTCATAGGTACCTCAGAAGAGAGGCTGGCTGGCTATTTTTTAAAAAAACTAGCCACTAAAACCCCTGTGGAGTAAGGTCCTACTGTGGTGCATGTGGGGTTGCTGTGAGGCAGAATCAAGTCAACAGAAAATAGCCACTGGTGGCTACTAACCAGATCCTTAAAATGAGGTTTACTAACTTAAGAGAAACACGAAATTTACTGTGTGGGTTCATTTTTCCGTGTTCATACCACTTATTCGTCCTAAGTCCTCCCTTTTGATAACTGGGAAGTATGATGAAAGTAATACCTAAAATTTACCAATCTTATAGTCCAGAGGGAAGCAGGAGTGGTGTCCACTTCCTAAACAACACACCTCTGGAAACCCTATGAACTTTGATAAATGATGATAGTTACAGAAAGGCTTCAGGCTTTTGTTCATAGGGTCATTACGAGTCGTGCTTGACTCAACAGCAATCAACAACAACACAAGAATATAGTCCATAGAAAGTTGTGTTGCTAACCCACAGGGCACACCTCTCTGGTGGTTCGAATCCACCAGCAGGTCCCTGGGGAAGAAAGGGAGCAATCTCCTTTTGTGCAATTTACAGCCTCTGAAAACCCACTGGAGGGTCAACTCTGAGTTGGTCCCAACTTGACTACAGTGAGTTTTGAGTTTCGAGTTTTGCGTAAGATGAATCAAGTACTGTATTCAGTACTCAATGAGGGCGTGCTCAGCACCTATTGAAAGATGACTCTCAGGTTCACACAACTTGAGTGGGAGAGCTGGGATTCAAATGTGACTTCGAGTTGATTTCCTGGAAGCCTTATCTCACTGAGAATGAGAATATAAAGGAGTATTCTTTGTCTGATGGTTTGTACCTTCTTCCTGCAGATGCTTATAGTAGCAACTGTTCTTCTTGTACTGGAGAGTGAAAAGAACTATAAATGTTGCCATAGTGAAAACTGCAACAAACAGTATATGGTAAGAACAACTTTTTTTTTTTTTTTTAAATCGTGGAGCGGACTTACTTCTTCCTCTCACTCAGAAATACTGAAGTCTATGGTAGTTCACAGGGACCCTATCAGTTCAGAGCCCAAGGACTGGCACCAACGGCTGTCTTCCATTTGCTCAGTCTTCCCTTCAGCTATGTTCTGCACATACTTTGGGCATGCTGTTATGGTTTGGTTATTCTTCAGAGAGGGATGTCATGCTTGAAAAGGAGGAAGGACAATGAAGTAGAGGAAGACCCTCAACCAGGCAGATTGACACAATGACTGTAGCAATGAGCTTGAGTGTGTAAGAGATTGTGAGGACGGCACAGGATAGGACAGGGTTCCAGTCTGTTGCTCATAGGGTCGCTATGAGTCGTACTCAATTCAGTAGCACCTAACCACAACACGATCTGCTGATGGAGCGCTGACAGCCCAGTCCTTAGCGAGGTGCACTGCTAACTCAAAGGCCATGGTCTCCAGAGGTTGAAATCTACCATGGACTCTGCAGGACAAAGATGAACAATCTCCACTCAAGCGATATACAGCCTTGGAAACCCATCAGAGGGTCAGCTGTGAGTCAGTCCCAACTCAATGGCCATGAGTCAGTTTGCTCTGCTGTTGTTTGTGTTCAGGAATTCAACATTTTCAAATATATTCATTTAGGACAAGATACTGTCTTTTCCAAGCTGAGCCAATATGGCACAATGATTAAAAGCTAATCTGCTAACTGAAACAGGAGAAACCTACGGGAGCATACACCAGTAAAGATGATGGGAAGTTCTATTCTGCCTTACCGTGCCATTGTTGTTGTTGTTAAGTGCCATCGAGTCATAGACGACTCATAGTGACCCTATGAACAAAAGACCTGAACACTTGTATAACTTTCATCGTTTCTCTGAGTTCATAGAATTTCCGGAGGCAAGCTATTTTGGAAGTGAATACCACTCCTGCTTCCAAGCCTGTTTTCATTGGGGAGCTCCACTAAACACTGTCCACCATGGGCAACTATTATCACATCTGACACATTTTCAGTGTCACAGTGTTTAGCATCACGGTGACCATAAGTTACCTCTGTACAGCAAATGGACAGACCAGTGCTATGTCACTTAGAGGCATATTTGACCAAAACCAATTAAAACCAGGCCTAAAGGCCACAAATTAAAATCACCCACCTTTGGCTTGGTAGCATAACTTTCTATTTACTAGACCAACAGAGCTCTCTCTGTGACTCACAGCAATTCTATAAACAACAGATCTAACCCTTCCCCATCCTATGCTATCCCCACAATCCAAGACATGCTCAAGCCCATTGTGAAAATCACCATATCAATCCACTGTGTTGAGGATCTGCTTTTCTTCTCTGACCTTCACTTTTCTCAGCATGATGTCATTTCCCAAAGACTTGACACTTAACTGTTGTTAAGTGCCATCGATTTGTAGACAACTCATAGCGACCCTGTGAACACTTACATAACTTTCATTGTTTCTCTAAGTTCATAGAATGTCCAGAGGCAAGCTTTACTGTGTCATTATGAGTCAGAATGGATTCAATGGCCATAGTTTTGGGTTTTGAGCTTTATTTCTTCATTGCCTTGTTCTGAGGATATAGTTTACCCTACCAATATAATTGAGGCATAATTTATGTAACATAAATGACAATCATGACTTTTGACAGTTAAATTTACCCATGAAGAGACCATCATAATCAAGATACAGAACATTCCCTTAAACCCCTAAAGACAGCCTGCAACCTGTTTTGTTATCATTATAAGTTAGTTTTCATTTCATGTAAACAGATTCATGCAGTATTTGTCTTTCATGACTGACTTCTTTAATTCAGCATCATGAATTTTAGGCTCATTTATGTTTTGTGTGTATCTCGTGTGATTTTCTTTAAAATTTTTACATGTTAAAGTAACATTGAGGAAAAGCAATACAACAATTCTCCTCTTTCTCTTCCACCACATTATCATTGGTTCTCACATTCACATAACTCTATGTAATTCTTTGATTCTATAGAGTGAACGAGGTCAAACGGACTCTCATTTCACAGATTAGGCACTTACATATAGCTCAGAAAGGACATGTGGCTAGTTAAGAGGCACTGTCCCAAAGTTCTGGTAAACATTCTTTACAGCAGTGGGTCCACATCTTGGCTGCACATCACAATCTCTTGCTGACCTTGGAAGAAAAAAAAAGTTGTCTGATTTCCACCTTCAGAATCCCTGCTTTATTCAGGCTGATGTGCAACCTGGGCATAAAAAAGTTAAGCTCATTGCCATTGAGTTGGAGCTAACTCCACTTTTGAAACCTCCTGTGTGAATCGGTTGGATTCTGGAAGGTAGGTTGTTCTGATTTAACTGACAGTTGGATGTAAACTGTTTGGTTGTTTTTATTTAGTTAACAATCAGCTGTAAGCTGACTGGTCATTTTGACTTAGTTAACAATAAGGTGTGTGATGCAAGCCTCTTGTTTAATCCAATCAGGACCCAGTAGTTGTTGTTATGTGCCATCGAGTTGCCTGCAACTCATAGCGACCCTTTGTACAACAGCCCTAAACTCTGCTCTGTCCTGTGCCAATCGCACTGTCTCTGACACTCCCATCCCGATTATCCCAGTCACTGAATCAATCCACCTCATAGAGGGCCTTTCCCTCCTGCACTGTCCCTCCACCCTCGCAAGCATGATGTCCTTCTCCAAAGACCGGTCTCTCCTCACATGTCCAAAGTATGTTAGACAGAGCCTCAGAATCCTTGCCTCCAAGGAGCCACCCGGTTTAACCCTTTCCAGGATGAATCTGTTTGTTTTCCTAGCAGTCCATGGTATTCTTAATACTCTTCTCCAGCACCACAGCTCAAAGGCATCAATTCTCCTTCTATCCTCCTTGGTCATTGTCCAACTCTCTGATGCATAACAAGTGATTGCGAACACCATAGCCTTGTATCAGATGCACCTTAGTCTCCAGAGAGACACCATTGCTCTTCAGTACTTTGGAGAGGTCCCTAACAGCAGACTTTCCCATGGCAATGCGCCTTTTAATTTCCTGGCTGCTGGTGCCAAGAGTGTTGACTGTGGAGCCAAGCAAACTAAAGCTGTGTACAATCTCAATCTCTTCACCATCAATCCTGATGCTGCCAATTGGTCCAGTGGGGAGAATCTTTGCCTTCTTGACATAGAGCCTCAATCCATATTGGAGGCTGCAGTCCTTGACCCTCTGTAGCAGGTGTTTCAGGTCCTCTTCATTTTCAGCAAGCAGGGTTGTGTCATCTGCATAACACAGATTGCTGATAAATCGTCCACCAATCTTGACCCCACATTTCTCCTCATAGAGCCCAGCCTCCCGGATAATCTGTTTTGCATATACGTTGAAAAGGTATGGAGATAGGATGCATCCCTGGCGTACGCCCTTCCCAATTTTGAACCATGCAGTGTTCCCTTGCTCTGTTCTGACGACTGCCTCCTGGTCCAAGTATAGGTTTCGCATTAGAACAATCAAGTGTTCTGGGATTCCATTCTTCTCAGAGTCAGCCACAGTTTGTTATGGTCCACACAGTAGGCTGGCCTTTATATTTAAAAGTCAGTTTGGTCCTGTTTGGAGCCTCCTGTGTGAAGTGGTTGGATTTGAAAGGTAGGTTGTTTTGATTTGACAGTCGAGTGTAAACAATTTGGTTGCTTTATTTAGTTAACAATCAGATATAAGCTGTTTAGTCATTTTAATTAACAATCAGGTGGGTTTGGAAGCCTCTTGTTTAAAACAATCAGCTTATCAAAGAGAGTAGAAATGGAAAATTTTATATGAAATTTCTTAACTATGTTGATAATTTATTCTCCTTTTTAAAACATTGAGTTGACAAAGTAACATACATCTCACAGAGGAGACTTGAGACTATACCAGTTTGCCAAAATTAAAGTTTCAAAAACTGAAGTCACTCAAAATTCACTTCTTACTTGCTACTTACTCCTCCATGGGATTGGCCTTCTGACAATGTTTTGTGGGTGGTTAATCTTGGAAAACAAATGTAGGCCAATGAAAAACAATGGAAATAATAGCTGACTTTTTATTATTGTTTAAATTTTTCAAATAATTTATTCAACATTCAAGTTAGGTGGGCTTTGTTCTTATTTACATACTTAAATTCTATCCCTCAAATAAAGACAATCTTCACTGATAATCCCAATGAGTTGATTAAGGATATATTTGGTAAACAAAGTAAGTAATTTTTTCCAAAACAAATTTAGTTTCTGAAGTTGACTTTTAAAATAAGCACATTTTCTTTTTAAAATGCAACTGACACTTTAGACCACCAAAAGTCACAATCTGTTTGTTTTCTGAAAACTGGTTGTGATTTTGGGGTGTTTTGGTTTTTGAATAATGAGCTGCTATAAAACAGATAAAATTGTTGCAATATAGCATCACGTGAGAACCGACCACTAACTACCCTCCAGAGATTTTCAGAAGCAGTGAGTCACACAGGAGGAGATTGACCATCTGCCTCCTGTAGAGCAGTTGGTAGACTAGAACCACATGACTTTATATTAGCCGCACAACTCCTTACCACTAAGCCACCAGAGTTCCTTATAGACAGAATGCTGTTGTTATGTGCGGTAGTCAACTACATAGTAACCATATGAATAATAGTTCTGAATGTGCCATCTTCACCAACCTCAACTTGAAGTGCCCACATGGAATTCTTGCCTTTGTGCCCTCTCACTTCCAATTTGTAGACATATCACTGCCGAGTAAGCTTCTAAAGATGCAAGCAGCTCCCATCTTTTTCTTGTTGAAAGCCACATCAAAAGATGTGACTTCTTATGGTGGAAAAAGTTCACTTCAAAGTCTCATATGATGCAAATACAATGGTAATCTGTGATATTTTGTGACAGATAGCAAAGAAGTATTCAAAGAATAATGAGGTCACGCCAAAACACATAGGAGCTAACTTGAAGGGCTATTCCCACTGGCCAAAGTTAAAGTTAGTTAAACACTAA